TCCAGCTTTTCCAGTCTTTTCTAGTGGCTTCAGAAAGCAACGTTAGGCACTAGCCTGGCTTCAAACGCTCCGCAGCGCCTTGGTGGGCGCTTTGTGGCCATCTGCCGGGCCTTTGACCAGACTTTTCTAGTGGCTTCAGAAAGCAACGTTAGGCACTAGCCTGGCTTCAAACCCTCCGCAGCGCCTGGGCGGGCGCTTTGTGGCCAGCTGCCGGGCCTGTGCTCCAGCTTTTCCAATCTTTTCTAGTGGCTTCAGAAAGCAAAGTTCGGCACTAGCCTGGCTTCAAACGCCCCGCAGCGCCTTGGTGGGCGCTTTGTGGCCATCTGCCGGGCCTTTGACCAGACTTTTCTAGTGGCTTCAGAAAGCAACGTTAGGCACTAGCCTGGCTTCAAACCCTCCGCAGCGCCTTGGCGGGCGCTTTGTGGCCAGCTGCCGGGCCTGTGCTCGAGCTTTTCCAGTCTTTTCTAGTGGCTTCAGAAAGCAACGTTAGGCACTAGCCTGCTTCAAACCCTCCGCAGCGCCTGGGCGGGCGCTTTGTGGCCAGCTGCCGGGTCTGTGCTCCAGCTTTTCCAGTCTTTTCTAGTGGCTTCAGAAAGCAACGTTAGGCACTAGCCTGGCTTCAAACGCTCCGCAGCGCCTTGGTGGGCGCTTTGTGGCCATCTGCCGGGCCTTTGACCAGACTTTTCTAGTGGCTTCAGAAAGCAACGTTAGGCACTAGCCTGGCTTCAAACCCTCCGCAGCGCCTGGGCGGGCGCTTTGTGGCCAGCTGCCGGGCCTGTGCTCGAGCTTTTCCAGTCTTTTCTACTAGCTTCAGAAAGCAACGTTAGGCACTAGCCTGGCTTCAAACCCTCCGCAGCGCCTTGGCGGGCGCTTCGTGGCCAGCTGCCGGGCCTGTGCTCGAGCTTTTCCAGTCTTTTCTAGTGGCTTCAGAAAGCAACGTTAGGCACTAGCCTGGCTTCAAACCCTCCGCAGCGCCTGGGCGGGCGCTTCGTGGCCAGCTGCCGGGCCTGTGCTCCAGCTTTTCCAGTCTTTTCTAGTGGCTTCAGAAAGCAACGTTAGGCACTAGCCCGGCTTCAAACCCTCCGCAGCGCCTTGGCGGGCGCTTCGTGGCCAGCTGCCGGGCCTGTGCTCCAGCTTTTGCAGTCTTTTCTAGTGGCTTCAGAAAGCAACGTTAGGCACTAGCCTGGCTTCAAGCCCTGCGCAGCGCCAGCTGCCGGGCCTCTGCTCGAGCTTTTCCATCTTTTCTAGTGGCTTCAGAAAGCAACGTTAGGCACTAGCCTGGCTTCAAACCCTCCGCAGCGCCTGGGCGGGCGCTTTGTGGCCAGCTGCCACTATTATATTATATTAAATTATATTAGATTACATTGATTATATTATATTATATTACATTATATTCTTTTATATTCTATTCTATTCTCTTTTATTAAATTATATTATATGATATTATATAATATATATTATGTTATACTATATAATTTTTTTTGCTTGCAATTTTTCCGGGGTCGGCGGCAGGGGCGGCAGCCCTTTAATAAATATAATTGTTATATATTGTTATTTATTGTTCTAGAAATAGTGACTTTTCCCATTGAAAGTGGTGGCTGGTGATTTTCCATCTGTAACTTATATTATATAACTATATAATATTATATAATATTATATAATACATTCTTTTCATGGGTGGATTTATTCATCCTACCCATATCGTAGAAATAGTCAATTTACTGCTTAATCATCGTGCTTTTCCAGCGCAAGCTGTTAGTTATATCACAATCCTGCCAGTACCCCGCCTGGTAAACATACAAAAACCGAACTAGACATGGCTACCTCTCTGGTAAACTGACACTTTGCAATAGAAAAGCACTATGTTTCCTGATTAATAGATAAATCCACTCTTTCTATGGCAATGTTCAATAGCTAGGTGTTGCATCTTAACTGCCCAGAATCACGTATGGTGGATCAGCTACATTTGGCTACTTGTTGAACCAGCAAAATCCCTATACCAAGGGGCCCAGCTTCTTCAAAAATTGCACCCCGGAATCTACGACTCGCAGGGTGCAATTGCGTATGTTTCTTGAGTTGGTACAAAGAATTTCCCTGCTTCAACAAGTAACCAAATGTAGCTAATCCACCATACTTGCTTCCGGGGTCGGCGGCAGGGGCGGCAGCCCTTAAATCCGGGCGCCGGCCCCGGGGCCGCAGCCCGTGGCATTGCCGGAGGCCTTCGGTGGTAACCGAAGGTTATATACGCTCGCCCCCCCTGCCGCCGACCACCTCGGGTCGACCTCGGGTCGACCCCGGGTCGACCCCGTGTCGATTCCGGTTCACCCCCGACCCACGATTATACGTGTAATTTACAGTGTATTCTGCGGGTGGTGTTCAAAAAACATCGTTTTTTACAGGGTTTTGTGGCCTTCGCCGTCTCCAGGTTTCATCTTGGCGACGTTAAAAAACCATGGGTTTTTCATGGTTTTGGGTCTTCGGACGGGGTCCGGAACGGAAAACTGGACATCTTGACGGCCTTGGTGCCAACATAGGGCCAACATCGGCCAAGATGTGGGCTACATGGGTCAACATAAGGCTCAGATAGGGGCAAGCCTGCGCCAACATAGGGCCAACATAGGCCCAAGATGGCCCCAAGATGGCCCAACATAGGCCCAACATGGCTCCAAGATGGCCCCAGACGGCCCAACATAGGCCCAAGCTGGCCCCAAGATGGCCCAACATGGGCCCAACATGGCCCCAAGATGGCCCAACATAGGCCCAACATCGGCAACCACAAATAGGGCCAACATCGGGCAACAGCAACAACAACAACGACAACAACAACAACAACAGTCGACGACGACGACGAGGACGCCGACGACGACGACGCCGCCGACGACGACGACGACGACAACGATACCAACAACCACCGCTTCTTTGGTCTCGAGCTCTGTGGCTGCAACAACAACAACAACAACGACGACGACGACGACGACGTCAACGACGACGACGAGGACGCCGACGACGACGACGACGCCGACGACGACAACGAGACCAACAACCACCGTTTCTTTGGTCTCGAGCTCTGTGGCTGCAACAACAACAACGACGACGACGACGACGCCGACGACGACGACGAGGACGCCGACGACGACGACGTCGCCGACGAGGACGACGACGACGACGCAACATAGGAACAACAACAAAAAAAACAAGGACGACAACGACAACCACAACAACAACAACAAGAACAGCAACAACAACAACAGAATAAGAACAACGACAACAACAAGAACGACGACGTCAACGACAACAACAAGAACAACAACAGCGACGACGACGACGACGACGGCGACCGCGACGATGACGACTACGACGACGACGACGACGACAACGATATCAACAACCACCGTTTGTTTGGTCTCGAGCTCTGTGGCTGCAACAACAACAACAACGACGACGACGACGCCGACGTCAACGACCAGGACGAGGACGCCGACGACGCCGACGACGACGACGATGATACCAACAATCACCGATCCCTTAATTGACTCCCTCCCAAGCACAGTCGTTCCAGCCGGCACGACACCCACCTCGCTGTCGCGTTCGACTACGATGCACGGTCGCGACCGGCCACGCCGCGCCTTTCTGCACCAAGCTGCAGCCCTAAACCACCGCCGCTGCCAGCGCTGAGCGCTGCTCTGCGCTCGCTCCCGGCGTGTACGCGTCAGACAGACGCCGACATGACCGTGGTTTCCACATGCATTTGATCATCACTAACCACACTAAACACTGATAACAAATAAGGTTGCAAACGGGGATGAGGCCATGGATCGTTTACCAACATGTTGGCTACCCATCACTGCCTCTCGTAACTCTGTACCCCTCCAGTTGCTAACTTCTACTCATCCAACGTTGTTGCCTCGGTGAAAACACTTGAAACAACGCACCGTCTGCGGCGAACCGACTATATGCTAGACCATTGCAATCATAACAAACTAAACCAGTCCCAAATTTACCATAACTGGCTGGTATACGGTATAAGTCCAGACGGCTCTCCCGACTTCGGTGCGCCTAGGGTACACCCGGGCTGTCAGCCCCCTTCCACCGAAGGATGCTACCGGGACGCCCGAAGTCCCGGCCCCCGTCTTCCACACGACTGTTGTCCTATCCCCCGCGTTGCCTGCAACAACAACAACAACAACAACAACAACAACAACGACAGCGACGACAACAACAACAACAACACCACCAACAACACCAGAACATGGACATGGATTACACCCGACGCATGGGTCTGCTTTGGCCGGCGCCCGGCTGTCAGGCGTAAGCCTCATAATATGTTTTACACGTATACGTACATTTAAATGTATATGCATATATATATATACACACATACACATGTGCATCTATGTATGCATATATATATATACACAGAATGGATATGATTTGTGTATATAGATAGATCAGATGGCGGTACCCTTACTGGCAATGCCTCACAGTGAAGTCATGGCCAGCAATGATGCCACCCCGACGAACGCGTGGCTCCCACAAGTGCAAATCCTCAGAGTTCACACATGGAACCCCCTGCTGTGAAAAGACCGAACCAGCTAGTAGTTGTGGATGTGAATGACCCCCAACAATTTGGTAATTCAGAAGTTTTATAACGGTACAATCTATCCCCAAAATGTCTATGCTTCCAAATAAACTGTAGGAAAAGTGATTCGGAATCATCTCTGAAAAGCAAATGATACTGAATTCCTGCAGACTGCTCTAATGTAGATAGAAGCAAAAAGGACATCGTGTACACTCTTCTCTGGTTTGATGCTGAATGCCAATGCATCTAGAAATGTTCCATGTGCGCCAACAATTGCACCTTACAATAGAATCCAAAGCCAAACACCAAGCAGACATGAATGAAATAGTAGCAGACTGTTGGATATTTCTAGATCATGACCAAAAAAGAAACTATGATCCACGTCTTCCAAAATTCCAGCAGACTGGTTGATGATCTGTGACTAAACCACTTGTGATGCTCTAGAGTCCAAAGTCTCAAGGATTCCAATATCAGTTGCAGAATCATCGTGGGTGGTGTGTGGTGGGACTGCCTGGGTGGAGTTCACAACCGGCTTGCCGGTGAATTGGAAAAATCTGAACCTCTTCACCGACCGAGCCGCGTTCCGCACATTGGCATAGGTATGAGGACCATCGATGAAAACAAAATCCATCTCAGGACCCTCTGCAAGCCTGTCAAACATCGCAGGAAACACAGCAAACACATATCAGGAAACACATCATCGAAAAATCAATCACGGCAACTAAAACCATTTACGCGAGTCTTCTCTCTCAGCCGCTCTTTGGATCCGCATCTAATACTTTGCTTCGTGAAGAATCAAGACTTTGTTTTGCAAAGGATGAAAATCTCAGACCAGAGCGTTTCACACCTTGTTTCACATTTCCGATCGGCCAGCAATTTGGCGAGAAGCCATGTCTTGCGCAATCACTGTCAGCATTGCACTTGTAGTTTCAAACGTTGCAGTCACCACTTAGGTGAGCTATCCAGTAGTTGGCAATGTGGTGGAAGACAAGGGACAGTGTTTCTATATCTACAAGCCCTGTCTCAATGTCAACCTCTATACGAGTTTGCCGAGCCCGCTTAGGACCCTTGCAAGGCAGCCATGATATGTCATGATCTACCCCGAAACTGTGCAGCAAACAAACATATTCAGTACAAAACTGATTTATGAGATGCCACTCCAAGAATTTGCTTGGCTGTACAACAACCCTCTCGACGTGCAGGACACTTAGCAGGCATTGCAGCCGTAGCGGAAGCAGTAGTAAGTGTAGAGACCCAACTGCCGACCATATGCGCACTTCTTGCCGCATTTGCCTCAGTCCAGCAGTCCAGTACTCGGTAATTCTGATAGCATTGCACAATGGGAAATACTCGGTGGAACCTGCATGCACGATTTCCTCAACAAAACTTAAAGGAGCAACAAACTCAGACCTTGCATTCTGCTAGAAAGGTTGCTTGGCCCACCTATAGAGTGATAAAGGAGAAGAATAAAGAATGAAGAAAGAAGTAGGAAGAACAATCAAGAAGTCAGAAGAAGTAGGAAGAATGAGGGAGAGGGGGCAGGAATCCTCAAATTGCAGCAAGATGCAGTAGAGCATGTTGCTACCGCTCACACTGGCACCTTCCCACTTGTCCTCATTCTCTGTGGATGGGGTGATCTTCAGACTCTTGAGACTCAACTTTGTCTCGGTGCCCTCAGTGTCCTTGGTGTGCGCGGCAGCGTCAGGCTTTTCCGCTGGCTTAGGCTCTGTCTCGTGGTTCTCCTGGCTTGGAATCTCCTTTGGCGCAGTCTCCTGGCTTCCTCGCAAGTGTCCTGTGGCATCTGCAGGTTCTTCAGGACAAGCTTGGCAAGCACAGGACTGGCCAAGGTCGAAGATGTACCAAGATCCCATCTGCTTCACCTCAAGGTCTCATACCAGGCGGATGAACAAGTGGACTCTTCCCGTCCCAACTTTTAAGGGATTTTGGCAACTCAACAAAAATCACCGGCCTTAAGATCCTTAAGCATTCGATTCAGTGTTGTGTATTAAGCAACAAAATAGCTGACCCAAACGTTGCAAGTCACGCATGTGAGTCCGCACTTGCAATATACGAAGTTGCTCCATGTGGAACTAGTCTCGTTTGCTGGCCCAACTGCAGCAGTCGCATCAGGCTTTGATGGTGCTGTCTCATGAGCGAGGCCAACCACCACCAAAAGCAACAAAGACACGCTGCGAAGGGCCATGACTTGGAAACTGTCACAGGTCAAAGGCAAGTGAAGGAGCAGGTCTTGAGGGCTGACGCGGCAAGAATTTCGCTTTTTGCTCTGTAGCATGCAGACTGATGCAGACTGCTTCTGTATTACTTGAATGCTCCAATGCCTTTCAACACTCCGCAGAACTCTTCAAGAACGGATCTTCTATCACAAAGCAAATGGCACGAGAGCTTTTCTCTATTCCAATGGAACTTCTTGCAGGCTATGGCCTTAAATGACTTAAATGATACAATGACGCTAGAACTCCCGCTGCCTGGAAACTTGCTAAATACGTGCAAATACAGTTCAGAGCTTTTCACACCTTTTGTTTCACATTTCCGATCAGCCAGCAATTTGGCGAGGAGCCATGTCTGCGCAATCACTGTCAGCATTGCACTTGTAGTTTCAAACGTTGCAGTCACCACTTAGGTGAGCTATCCAGTAGTTGCAATGTGGTGGAAGACAAGGGACAGTGTTTCTATATCTACAAGCCCAGTCTCAATGTCAACCTCTATACGAGTTTGCCGAGCCCGCTTAGGACCCTTGCAAGGCAGCCATGGTATGTCATGATCTACCCCGAAACTGTGCAGCAAACAAAAATATTCAGTACAAAACTGATTTCTGAGATGCCACTCCAAGAATTTGCTTGGCTGTACAACAACCCTCTCGACGTGCAGGACACTTAGCACGCATTGCAGCCGTAGCGGAAGCAGTAGTAAGTGTAGAGACCCAACTGCCGACCATATGCGCACTTCTTGCCGCATTTGCCTCAGTCCAGCAGTCCAGTACTCGGAAATTCTGATAGCATTGCACAACGGGAAATACTCGGTGGAACCTGCATGCACGGTTTACCTCAACAAAACTTAAAGGAGCAACAAACTCAGACCTTGCTTTCTGCTAGAAAGGTCGCTTGAGCACTGGCCCACCGATAGAGTGATAAAGGAGAAGAATTAGGAATGAAGAAAGAAGTAGAAAGAATAATCAAGCAGTCAGAAGAAGTAGGAAGAATGAGGGAGCGGGGGCAGGCATCCTCAAATTATAGCTAGGTGCAGTAGAGCATGTTGCTACCGCTCACACTGGCACCTTCCCACTTGTCCTCATTCTCTGTGGATGGGGCGATCTTCAGACTCTTGAGACTCAACTTTGTCTCGGTGCCCTCAGTGTCCTTGGTGTGCTCGGCAGCGTCAGGCTTTTCCGCTGGCTTGGGCTCTGTCTCGTGGTTCTCCTGGCTTGGAATCTCCTTTGGCGCAGTCTCCTGGCTTCCTCGCAAGTGTCCTGTGGCATCTGCAGGTTCTTCAGGACAAGCTTGGCAAGCACAGGACTGGCCAAGGTCGAAGATGTACCAAGATCCCATCTGCTTCACCTCAAGGTCTCATACCAGGCGGATGAACAAGTGGACTCTTCCCGTCCCAACTTTTAAGGGATTTTGGCAACTCAACAAAAATCACCGGCCTTAAGATCCTTAAGCATTCGATTCAGTGTTGTGTATTAAGCAACAAAATAGCTGACCCAAACGTTGCAAGTCACGCATGTGAGTCCGCACTTGCAATATACGAAGTTGCTCCATGTGGAACTAGTCTCGTTTGCTGGCCCAACTGCAGCAGTCGCATCAGGCTTTGATGGTGCTGTCTCATGAGCGAGGCCAACCACCACCAAAAGCAACAAAGACACGCTGCGAAGGGCCATGACTTGGAAACTGTCACAGGTCAAAGGCAAGTGAAGGAGCAGGTCTTGAGGGCTGACGCGGCAAGAACTTCGCTTTTTGCTCTGTAGCATGCAGACTGATGCAGACTGCTTCTGTATTACTTGAATGCTCCAATGCCTTTCAACACTCCCCAGAACTCTTCAAGAACGGATCTTCTATCACAAAGCAAATGGCACGAGAGCTTTTCTCTATTCCAATGGAACTTCTTGCAGGCTATGGCCTTAAATGACTTAAATGATACAATGACGCTAGAACTCCCTCTACTTGGAAAATTGCTAAATTTTTAATACGTGTAAATACAGTTCAGAGCTTTTCACACCTTTTGTTTCACATTTCCGATCGGCCAGCAATTTGGCGAGGAGCCATGTCTGCGCAATCACTGTCAGCATTGCACTTGTAGTTTCAAACGTTGCAGTCACCACTTAGGTGAGCTATCCAGTAGTTGGCAATGTGGTGGAAGACAAGGGACAGTGTTTCTATATCTACAAGCCCTGTCTCAATGTCAACCTCTATACGAGTTTGCCGAGCCCGCTTAGGACCCTTGCAAGGCAGCCATGGTATGTCATGATCTACCCCGAAACTGTGCAGCAAACAAAAATATTCAGTACAAAACTGATTTCTGAGATGCCACTCCAAGAATTTGCTTGGCTGTACAACAAGCCTCTCGACGTGCAGGACACTTAGCAGGCATTGCAGCCGTAGCGGAAGCAGTAGTAAGTGTAGAGACCCAACTGCCGACCATATGCGCACTTCTTGCCGCATTTGCCTCAGTCCAGCAGTCCAGTACTCGGAAATTCTGATAGCATTGCACAACGGGAAATACTCGGTGGAACCTGCATGCACGATTTACCTCAACAAAACTTAAAGGAGCAACAAACTCAGACCTTGCTTTCTGCTAGAAAGGTCGCTTGAGCACTGGCCCACCGATAGAGTGATAAAGGAGAAGAATTAGGAATGAAGAAAGAAGTAGAAAGAATAATCAAGCAGTCAGAAGAAGTAGGAAGAATGAGGGAGCGGGGGCAGGCATCCTCAAATTATAGCTAGGTGCAGTAGAGCATGTTGCTACCGCTCACACTGGCACCTTCCCACTTGTCCTCATTCTCTGTGGATGGGGCGATCTTCAGACTCTTGAGACTCAACTTTGTCTCGGTGCCCTCAGTGTCCTTGGTGTGCTCGGCAGCGTCAGGCTTTTCCGCTGGCTTGGGCTCTGTCTCGTGGTTCTCCTGGCTTGGAATCTCCTTTGGCGCAGTCTCCTGGCTTCCTCGCAAGTGTCCTGTGGCATCTGCAGGTTCTTCAGGACAAGCTTGGCAAGCACAGGACTGGCCAAGGTCGAAGATGTACCAAGATCCCATCTGCTTCACCTCAAGGTCTCATACCAGGCGGATGAACAAGTGGACTCTTCCCGTCCCAACTTTTAAGGGATTTTGGCAACTCAACAAAAATCACCGGCCTTAAGATCCTTAAGCATTCGATTCAGTGTTGTGTATTAAGCAACAAAATAGCTGACCCAAACGTTGCAAGTCACGCATGTGAGTCCGCACTTGCAATATACGAAGTTGCTCCATGTGGAACTAGTCTCGTTTGCTGGCCCAACTGCAGCAGTCGCATCAGGCTTTGATGGTGCTGTCTCATGAGCGAGGCCAACCACCACCAAAAGCAACAAAGACACGCTGCGAAGGGCCATGACTTGGAAACTGTCACAGGTCAAAGGCAAGTGAAGGAGCAGGTCTTGAGGGCTGACGCGGCAAGAATTTCGCTTTTTGCTCTGTAGCATGCAGACTGATGCAGACTGCTTCTGTATTACTTGAATGCTCCAATGCCTTTCAACACTCCGCAGAACTCTTCAAGAACGGATCTTCTATCACAAAGCAAATGGCACGAGAGCTTTTCTCTATTCCAATGGAACTTCTTGCAGGCTATGGCCTTAAATGACTTAAATGATACAATGACGCTAGAACTCCCGCTGCCTGGAAACTTGCTAAATACGTGCAAATACAGTTCAGAGCTTTTCACACCTTTTGTTTCACATTTCCGATCAGCCAGCAATTTGGCGAGGAGCCATGTCTGCGCAATCACTGTCAGCATTGCACTTGTAGTTTCAAACGTTGCAGTCACCACTTAGGTGAGCTATCCAGTAGTTGGCAATGTGGTGGAAGACAAGGGACAGTGTTTCTATATCTACAAGCCCTGTCTCAATGTCAACCTCTATACGAGTTTGCCGAGCCCGCTTAGGACCCTTGCAAGGCAGCCATGGTATGTCATGATCTACCCCGAAACTGTGCAGCAAACAAAAATATTCAGTACAAAACTGATTTCTGAGATGCCACTCCAAGAATTTGCTTGGCTGTACAACAAGCCTCTCGACGTGCAGGACACTTAGCAGGCATTGCAGCCGTAGCGGAAGCAGTAGTAAGTGTAGAGACCCAACTGCCGACCATATGCGCACTTCTTGCCGCATTTGCCTCAGTCCAGCAGTCCAGTACTCGGAAATTCTGATAGCATTGCACAACGGGAAATACTCGGTGGAACCTGCATGCATGATTTACCTCAACAAAACTTAAAGGAGCAACAAACTCAGACCTTGCTTTCTGCTAGAAAGGTCGCTTGAGCACTGGCCCACCGATAGAGTGATAAAGGAGAAGAATTAGGAATGAAGAAAGAAGTAGAAAGAATAATCAAGCAGTCAGAAGAAGTAGGAAGAATGAGGGAGCGGGGGCAGGCATCCTCAAATTATAGCTAGGTGCAGTAGAGCATGTTGCTACCGCTCACACTGGCACCTTCCCACTTGTCCTCATTCTCTGTGGATGGGGCGATCTTCAGACTCTTGAGACTCAACTTTGTCTCGGTGCCCTCAGTGTCCTTGGTGTGCTCGGCAGCGTCAGGCTTTTCCGCTGGCTTGGGCTCTGTCTCGTGGTTCTCCTGGCTTGGAATCTCCTTTGGCGCAGTCTCCTGGCTTCCTCGCAAGTGTCCTGTGGCATCTGCAGGTTCTTCAGGACAAGCTTGGCAAGCACAGGACTGGCCAAGGTCGAAGATGTACCAAGATCCCATCTGCTTCACCTCAAGGTCTCATACCAGGCGGATGAACAAGTGGACTCTTCCCGTCCCAACTTTTAAGGGATTTTGGCAACTCAACAAAAATCACCGGCCTTAAGATCCTTAAGCATTCGATTCAGTGTTGTGTATTAAGCAACAAAATAGCTGACCCAAACGTTGCAAGTCACGCATGTGAGTCCGCACTTGCAATATACGAAGTTGCTCCATGTGGAACTAGTCTCGTTTGCTGGCCCAACTGCAGCAGTCGCATCAGGCTTTGATGGTGCTGTCTCATGAGCGAGGCCAACCACCACCAAAAGCAACAAAGACACGCTGCGAAGGGCCATGACTTGGAAACTGTCACAGGTCAAAGGCAAGTGAAGGAGCAGGTCTTGAGGGCTGACGCGGCAAGAATTTCGCTTTTTGCTCTGTAGCATGCAGACTGATGCAGACTGCTTCTGTATTACTTGAATGCTCCAATGCCTTTCAACACTCCGCAGAACTCTTCAAGAACGGATCTTCTATCACAAAGCAAATGGCACGAGAGCTTTTCTCTATTCCAATGGAACTTCTTGCAGGCTATGGCCTTAAATGACTTAAATGATTCAATGACGCTAGAACTCCCGCTGCCTGGAAACTTGCTAAATATGTGCAAATACAGTTCAGAGCTTTTCAAACCTTTTGTTTCACATTTCCGATCAGCCAGCAATTTGGCGAGGAGACGTGTCTGCGCAATCACTGTCAGCATTGCACTTGTAAAGTTTCAAACGTTGCAGTCACCACTTAGGTGAGCTATCCAGTAGTTGGCAATGTGGTGGAAGATAAGGGACAGTGCTTCTATCTCTACAAGCCCTGTCTCAATGTCAACCTCTATACGAGTTTGCCGAGCCCGCTTAGGACCCTTGCAAGGCAGCCATGGTATGTCATGATCTACCCCGAAACTGTGCAGCAAACAAACATATTCAGTACAAAACTGATTTCTGAGATGCCACTCCAAGAATTTGCTTGGCTGTACAACAAGCCTTCACTCGACGTGCAGGACACTTAGCACGCATTGCAGCCGTAGCGGAAGCAGTAGTAAGTGTAGAGACCCAACTGCCGACCATATGCGCACTTCTTGCCGCATTTGCCTCAGTCCAGCAGTCCAGTACTCGGAAATTCTGATAGCATTGCACAACGGGAAATACTCGGTGGAACCTGCATGCACGATTTCCTCAACAAAACTTAAAGGAGCAACAAACTCAGACCTTGCATTCTGCTAGAAAGGTTGCTTGGCCCACCTATAGAGTGATAAAGGAGAAGAATAAAGAATGAAGAAAGAAGTAGGAAGAATAATCAAGAAGATCAAGAAGTCAGAAGAAGTAGGAAGAATGAGGGAGAGGGGGCAGGAATCCTAAAATTGCAGCAAGATGCAGTAGAGCATGTTGCTACCGCTCACACTGGCACCTTCCCACTTGTCCTCATTCTCAGTGGATGGGGCGATCTTCAGACTCTTGAGACTCAACTTTGTCTCGGTGCCCTCAGTGTCCTTGGTGTGCTCGGCAGCGTCAGGCTTTTCGGCTGGCTTGGGCTCTGTCTCGTGGTTCTCCTGGCTTGGAATCTCCTTTGGCGCAGTCTCCTGGCTTCCTCGCAAGTGTCCTGTGGCATCTGCAGGTTCTTCAGGACAAGCTTGGCAAGCACAGGACTGGCCAAGGTCGAAGATGTACCAAGATCCCATCTGCTTCACCTCAAGGTCTCATACCAGGCGGATGAACAAGTGGACTCTTCCCGTCCCAACTTTTAAGGGATTTTGGCAACTCAACAAAAATCACCGGCCTTAAGATCCTTAAGCATTCGATTCAGTGTTGTGTATTAAGCAACAAAATAGCTGACCCAAACGTTGCAAGTCACGCATGTGAGTCCGCACTTGCAATATACGAAGTTGCTCCATGTGGAACTAGTCTCGTTTGCTGGCCCAACTGCAGCAGTCGCATCAGGCTTTGATGGTGCTGTCTCATGAGCGAGGCCAACCACCACCAAAAGCAACAAAGACACGCTGCGAAGGGCCATGACTTGGAAACTGTCACAGGTCAAAGGCAAGTGAAGGAGCAGGTCTTGAGGGCTGACGCGGCAAGAATTTCGCTCTTTGCTCTGTAGCATGGAGACTGATGCAGACTGCTTCTGTATTATTTGAATGCTCCAATGCCTTTCAACACTCCGCAGAACTCTTCAAGAACGGATCTTCTATCACAAAGCAAATGGCACGAGTGCTTTTCTCTATTCCAATGGGACTTCTTGCAGGCTATGGGCTCAAAGGATACAATGACGCTAGAACTCCCTCTACCTGGAAACTTGCTAAATTGTTAATACGTGTAAATACAGTTCAGAGCTTTTCACACCTTTTGTTTCACATTTCCGATCAGCCAGCAATTTGGCGAGGAGACGTGTCTGCGCAATCACTGTCAGCATTGCACTTGTAGTTTCAAACGTTGCAGTCACCACTTAGGTGAGCTTTCCAATAATTGGCAATGTGGTGGAAGATAAGGGACAGTGCTTCTATCTCTACAAGCCCTGTCTCAATGTCAACCTCTATACGAGTTTGCCGAGCCCGCTTAGGACCCTTGCAAGGCAGCCATGGTATGTCATGATCTACCCCGAAACTGTGCAGCAAACAAAAATATTCAGTACAAAACTGATTTCTGAGATGCCACTCCAAGAATTTGCTTGGCTGTACAACAAGCCTCTCGACGTGCAGGACACTTAGCAGGCATTGCAGCCGTAGCGGAAGCAGTAGTAAGTGTAGAGACCCAACTGCCGACCATATGCGCACTTCTTGCCGCATTTGCCTCAGTCCAGCAGTCCAGTACTCGGAAATTCTGATAGCATTGCACAACGGGAAATACTCGGTGGAACCTGCATGCACGATTTCCTCAACAAAACTTAAAGGAGCAACAAACTCAGACCTTGCATTCTGCTAGAAAGGTTGCTTGGCCCACCTATAGAGTGATAAAGGAGAAGAATAAAGAATGAAGAAAGAAGTAGGAAGAATGATCAAGAAGATCAAGAAGTCAGAAGAAGTAGGAAGGATGAGGGAGAGGGGGCAGGAATCCTCAAATTGCAGTAAGATGCAGTAGAGCATGTTGCTACCGCTCACACTGGCACCTTCCCACTTGTCCTCATTCTCTGTGGATGGGGCGATCTTCAGACTCTTAAGACTCAACTTTGTCTCGGTGCCCTCAGTGTCCTTGGTGTGCTCGGCAGCGTCAGGCTTTTCGGCTGGCTTGGGCTCTGTCTCGTGGTTCTCCTGGCTTGGAATCTCCTTTGGCGCAGTCTCCTGGCTTCCTCGCAAGTGTCCTGTGGCATCTGCAAGTTCTTCAGGACAAGCTTGGCAAGCACAGGACTGGCCAAGGTCGAAGATGTACCAAGATCCCATCTGCTTCACCTCAAGGTCTCAAACCAGGCGGATGAACAAGTGGACTCTTCCCGTCCCAACTTTTAAGGGATTTTGGCAACTCAACAAAAATCACCGGCCTTAAGATCCTTAAGCATTTGATTCAGTGTTGTGTATTAAGCAACAAAATAGCTGACCCAAACGTTGCAAGTCACGCATGTGAGTCCGCACTTGCAATATACGAAGTTGCTCCATGTGGAACTAGTCTCGTTTGCTGGCCCAACTGCAGCAGTCGCATCAGGCTTTGATGGTGCTGTCTCATGAGCGTGGCCAACCACCACCAAAAGCAACAAAGACACGCTGCGAAGGGCCATGACTTGGAAACTGTCACAGGTCAAAGGCAAGTGAAGGAGCAGGTCTTGAGGGCTGACGCGGCAAGAATTTCGCTCTTTGCTCTGTAGCATGGAGACTGATGCAGACTGCTTCTGTATTACTTGAATGCTCCAATGCTTTTCAACACTCCGCAGAACTCTTCAAGAACGGATCTTCTATCACAAAGCAAATGGCACGAGTGCTTTTCTCTATTCCAATGGGACTTCTTGCAGGCTATGGGCTCAAAGGATACAATGACGCTAGAACTCCCTCTACCTGGAAACTTGCTAAATTGTTAATACGTGTAAATACAGTTCAGAGCTTTTCACACCTTTTGTTTCACATTTCCGATCAGCCAGCAATTTGGCGAGGAGCCGTGTCTGCGCAATCACTGTCAGCATTGCACTTGTAAAGTTTCAAACGTTGCAGTCACCACTTAGGTGAGCTATCCAGTAGTTGGCAATGTGGTGGAAGATAAGGGACAGTGCTTCTATCTCTACAAGCCCTGTCTCAATGTCAACCTCTATACGAGTTTGCCGAGCCCGCTTAGGACCCTTGCAAGGCAGCCATGGTATGTCATGATCTACCCCGAAACTGTGCAGCAAACAAAAATATTCAGTACAAAACTGATTTCTGAGATGCCACTCCAAGAATTTGCTTGGCTGTACAACAAGCCTTCACTCGACGTGCAGGACACTTAGCACGCATTGCAGCCGTAGCGGAAGCAGTAGTAAGTGTAGAGACCCAACTGCCGACCATATGCGCACTTCTTGCCGCATTTGCCTCAGTCCAGCAGTCCAGTACTCGGTAATTCTGATAGCATTGCACAATGGGAAATACTCGGTGGAACCTGCATGCACGATTTCCTCAACAAAACTTAAAGGAGCAACAAACTCAGACCTTGCATTCTGCTAGAAAGGTTGCTTGGCCCACCTATAGAGTGATAAAGGAGAAGAATAAAGAATGAAGAAAGAAGTAGGAAGAACAATCAAGAAGTCAGAAGAAGTAGGAAGAATGAGGGAGAGGGGGCAGGAATCCTCAAATTGCAGCAAGATGCAGTAGAGCATGTTGCTACCGCTCACACTGGCACCTTCCCACTTGTCCTCATTCTCTGTGGATGGGGTGATCTTCAGACTCTTGAGACTCAACTTTGTCTCGGTGCCCTCAGTGTCCTTGGTGTGCGCGGCAGCGTCAGGCTTTTCCGCTGGCTTAGGCTCTGTCTCGTGGTTCTCCTGGCTTGGAATCTCCTTTGGCGCAGTCTCCTGGCTTCCTCGCAAGTGTCCTGTGGCATCTGCAGGTTCTTCAGGACAAGCTTGGCAAGCACAGGACTGGCCAAGGTCGAAGATGTACCAAGATCCCATCTGCTTCACCTCAAGGTCTCAAACCAGGCGGATGAACAAGTGGACTCTTCCCATCCCAACTTTTAAGGGATTTTGGCAACTCAACAAAAATCACCGGCCTTAAGATCCTTAAGCATTCGATTCAGTGTTGTGTATTAAGCAACAAAATAGCTGACCCAAACGTTGCAAGTCACGCATGTGAGTCCGCACTTGCAATATACGAAGTTGCTCCATGTGGAACTAGTCTCGTTTGCTGGCCCAACTGCAGCAGTCGCATCAGGCTTTGATGGTGCTGTCTCATGAGCGAGGCCAACCACCACCAAAAGCAACAAAGACACGCTGCGAAGGGTCATGACTTGGAAACTGTCACAGGTCAAAGGCAAGTGAAGGAGCAGGTCTTGAGAGCAAATATGGCTATGACAGACGATGGGTCTGGTCCGTTTTCTCAGCAGAAAACTTCATTTCTGTGGTTCAGGTCCGTCCATGGTTGAAAGCGCTTTCCGCTGATCTTAGATTTTCAGAATGGTCTTGGCAACCACAATCCATCTTGCATCACCTTTCAGCGTACAAGTTTCACTACCCTTCAGGTCTATACTTGCAGAGTTTCAATCTCACTCGCTTGCCTGGCATGCATCTCTTCACTCGTGGTGGCAAAGAGCGTTGCCCGGTCACGGTATGGCCTCATGCTGGCCCTGTGAGCCATGGAAACGTATGGAAATCACCAAAAACTCAAAAGTTAGACGCTGAAAACCACACTAATTTGAGATCCTTGATATCACAGTGGCAAAGGGTCGTTGAGGGCAGGACGTGTAAGCCTTGCGCACCTCATCCTTGATGGTGGGATCTGCTCCAAAATATTGGAGCTGAGGGAATCGAGCCAAGAGGTGTAGACCTCAAAAACAGTTTGGAAGACTTCTTTGTCGGGCAGTTACATTCTTCCTCAGTGAGTTCACACTGAGGGGTTCTTACGGTAGGAATAAAAGGGCGGGGTTAGATCAAGGTGCTGCATCTGGGGCGCAGTTTTTTCACTGCAAGTTCTCGCGCAAAAGTTCCCTTGTGAGATGTCCATGCATTTCGACTGCGCAGGCTCGCACAAGATGGGCGCCACGGCTTTGTCCCTTCCAAAGGTGTAGTTTTACTAGCGCTCCGTGCTCGTTTTTTGACCTACTAGTCTAGGAAGTCAATTTTCCGTGGTAACCGTGGCACTTTGGGGGCATTTTGAGGTCTGGAACGTCGTTTTGCGTAACAGGTGGAGGATATCCGACACTTTTTCATCTCTGTCCCAGGCGTGGCACTTTCTGCACGTTGCTAAAACGCTAGCATGCGTGGGTCAAAATGAAAGGTGGTTTTAAAGGTCATTTTTCGTGGCAGGTGCAGTATTTGGTGAACTTGGACGACGTGTTGAAAGGATCGAAAGTCTCGTTTTGTGAAACCATCGTCATTTTTGATTTGGGACATGATGGCGATTCCGTGTGGCAACTGCAGCACTTCAGATGCCTCGGGCTCATTTTTCGCGGCCAGCGCAGTACTTTGTAGACCTCAGTAAAAAAAGTTGCCCGAAGCCTAGACAAAACATAACAGAACATCGTTTTCGACATTGCCAATTTTCATTTTTGCTTGTGTGTGCAATGTTTTCTGAAAATCTAGCATGTGCTCGGGCAAACCTCTCGTGACTTTGACCGGATCGCTCTCGTTGTGGCACGGTTCAAATGTTGATATCACTCGCGCATGCTCCCGCAGCCTTCTCGATCTTCTGGGCACTTTGCGCGTGTCGGATCGCTCTCATCGTGGCGCAGTGCTAACTTTGATATCGCCCGACCAACCGTCTCTGTGCGTGTCGGATCGCTCTCTTTGTGGTGCGGTGCTTTTTTGCTAATTCTCTGACGTCCTGGAACCGAGATCCTATGAAGTCTCTGGAAGGTCCTTCTCTCACGGCCTTGCAAGAGTTTCATGATGCAGTCTTAGATGTTCGTAATATATGAAGATCTTGACCAAGGTCTTGTAGAGGATGTTGTGGAGATCCTGATGGAAGTTCTTGTATGAAGATCTTGTGAGATCCTCTATATATAGCAGGTCCTTCTTTCAAAATGTCCTCGTATGAGGTTCTGATGACTAGACATAGCGTTGCTTCTTGTGCCAAAACAAGTTCCTGCTGCTGCAGTTACGATAATGTCTAACCTGGCCTGTTACTGTTCCATAGCTGCTGTTGCTTGTATCTGGTACATTGACTTCTTACCCCCCACACTGTTTGGGGTCCCTTGCCAGTGTAATTTTACAAATAATTCATCAGCCATGTTCAGCTACAGTTCGGGCATCGGCGCAATCACCTCAAACTTTGAGAAAATCTCTGAAACATTCCAGGTGGCAGTCCTGTGTGCCTTGACGTGATCCATGGGACTCTGGATTTAGACCGTCTACCAAAACCACCAGGTCGCTGCTGAGGAGCCAATGGGACCACATGCAACCCCCAGCTCGGCCATGCGAAGCTCTTGGCCCTTGGCAGTTTCGACATCCCGAAATTGCAGAATAGACTTCCTTGGGGCATTCTTTGCAGCATTTATTTTCTTTAGCTTTACCTACTCTACTACAATCGCAGAAATCAGACCGTGAAGTTGGGACCATGGCTCTTGCGCCAGAGGAGTTGAAATATCTCAACCACATCATCCCGTTGGTCGGATTCCTTCCCATCCTGGCCCTCACTAGTTTAGGAGGAGAATCACCATGAATTCACCCCCAACAAAGATTGTAAAAAACTCAACAACATTTTTCAAAATCTGTTGAAAGTGACCAATTGGGTAAGTGTTTGATCAAGGTTCACACGTCAGATGGTGTTGGCAAGCCTCCTCGAGGCTGTTCAAGAGGGCTTCTAAAACGTCAAAGTGCCTGCAGGAGGGCAAGAAACAGGACAGTTGCTGGAAGCTGGCAGAAACTTTAAGTAAAGAAAGGGAAAGGGATAGATAGATCAGGTATGATCAGGTTATGTAAGTTAGGTAGATTAGATTGGATGAAAAATTAGTGTGGATTGGATTTAGGCTAGATTAAATGATTATATAGGATATATATATATATAGATTTATCAGCCAAACATGTGGGTATAACTTGGCATGACAGCAAACCCAACTCATTTCATGTAGGGTTCCCTAAATCGACTGGTTGATCATCATCTTCCCTATTAAAAATAGGACATCACCATACACACCCAACAAAGTCCCTTCCAATCCTGCCTGCCATAGATTGGATGGACGCGGAAGATTGGCAACTGGCCCTGCAAGTTTGGATAGATACCCTTAGTGCCAGGAATCAGTGCCAGCACAAGACGGGAAGACAAAGAGATGACTCTGGTGCCCGCGGTCAGTTCAAAAATGTTCGACTTCATTTGTGGTTGCACTCCAGTCTCTGACTCTCAGCTATAAAATGGTGAGAACAAAAGACTTAAAGGTCCACGACGAGTCCACGACCAGCATGCAAGCCTATTGGACAAGATCTACTTTTTCTGTCAAATGGTTTGTTCTCAGCTTCAAGTCCAGGGACTGACAGCTCCAACATCAGCTGCTTCAGGCCCCATATGGTGCGCGAATGCTCCATCACCTCAATTCCAGGTTCCAAGCATCACCTTGTCGGCCTTAGAAGAAAAAACTGCTGATCTGGCTCTCTAGGCACGAATTCTATTGCTGTTGCTTTTAGATGTCTTTATTCTTTTTAATCTTGGACTGAGATACCAGAACAACCAGCCACATGTATCCACTTTGTTGGGATCCCATGGGTCCCCAAGTTTCACCCAGTCGTGCTCCGTTACTCCAGGGCCGTGGCCAAACGGGCGGTGCGGCCCAGTTCCAAGGCCAGCTCCGCCAGGAGCCCTTCGCTGCGACCATCGGCCAGCGACAGAACTTTGGATCTTTGTCCCTGCGCCTCCGGATACCACGGGAAGGTTTCGACATGGGACATGCGACATGTTTGGGACATGACATGAGGGACATATGGTAAGGTTCACTTACATTCTACATCTTGGAATGATTTAACGATAATTGATTGTACAGATTGTACATGTCTTTGAATGTTCCAGCATCGAAGGTAGTCCCTGCAGAGGCTGATAAGCTCAGAAGCAATCCCTTGAAGCATTGCCCCAGGTCCCGGTCCCAACCTGCGTCAAGGCCTGATTGGCTTTGCCCAGCAGTGGCAAAACACTGTCGTTCCGCCCAAGAACCACCTCTACGATGTTGGATTGAAGCCTGGCTGCTCAGTCCACCCTGTTTGGTCCCTCCCCCAAACCATGAGGCCCCACTTTCTGGGGAGACATCGAGTTGAGACAACCAGAAGTTCTGATGGAAATATGGGTAACTGCCCTGGATTCATCTGCTGGGTTTTGCACCATTCTTTCTGGCCCTGAGGGCTTAGCTCCTTCATGGACAACAAAACATGGCAGACCTGAGTGCACTGCTAAGGTGCAAACCCAAAAGATTGACCAACATGATAAAACAATGCAAAGCGGTCAATCTGGGAAAGAACAGGTTTACGGATGGGAGTTTAAAAGCATAGAAATACAGCCTAGAAGCACATTGATTTCGCTGATTTAGCAAACAGTGCCACCAAATGATGAAGCAGAGATCAGTCCTTCCAGCGACGCAGTAGTGCCGACAAGGCTTTTTCTCGAGCCATGTCCAAGCAATCTTCAGGTTCCTGCAAGCACAAATGGAAACTCGGAAAGGTAGGATCCATCAAAGAAAAAAAAACGATGCAGTTTTCACGAATCTGTGCATACGAAGTGCCACCTTCACCCTGCAAAACTAAAGCCGAAGCCTTTTTCGCTCAACAGGCACTCCGTGTATTTCTTATATAATCTGTGGACTGTTGCCTTTTCGTGCATTTGCAAAATGAAATCAGGAAATCTATTGCGCTAGACTTTGCTTGCCTACCCCTCAGTTTTTATTGATTTGATTTGGTCCAATCCATATTCGAGTCCTCGAGTCAATACCCCACATCATCATGCTTGTTCCGCTCTCCCACACTCCTCCTTGTGAGCACAAATTTCTGTGCCTCTTGTAGCACCTCTCATATCGCAACAATTTGTGACGGTACTAGTCCAGACCTTTTGCGAGATCCGGGTTCATTATTGTTGCAAGTAAATACAAGCAATCCGAATGCAAACCCGTTTGAATACCCCCTATACTAACCACTCAATAGGGGCATTTTAATGGTTCAACTTCCAAGTGATCCGCCTTGCCATGCGAAGATCGATAGAAGTTGTAAGGCCTCACAGTTCTCAACAACGCGTCGAGTTTCCTGACGTGCAACATGGGTTGTTCCACTCATCAAACAGCTGAGTAAATTTGTCTGAAAATGATCGGAAAACCACCCAAGACATTGGGTGGTCATCATTTTCCAAATTTTCCCTACGAAAATGACCATTTTATGGACCCCAGTTTCTGAACAAAAAAAATAAACCAGTGGAAGACACCGCGTGCCGTCTCCTGATGGGCACCGCGGTAGGAGAGATACTCCTCGCTTGGCAAGGCAGCGAGGCTCCATGCCTGGCTTCATGTCCCATTGCGGGCATGTACACGACTGTGACCTTGTCTGTGCACATATGGTGTACAGATATGGAGGTGCTATATGGATCTTACATTTTAGATATAGATGATGTACATATACATATATGATATATAGTATTTAAGGATATACATTTACCCCCTGGTGAGGGGTGCCGCCCAGAAGTTGATCATGTCCCCAATTTTTGAAGGTTTGTTTGGGGGTTCTCTGGGGAATGTTTAGGGTTTATCTAGGGTTTCATTTAGGGGGTTTAGGGTTTTTACCATGGTTTTTAATGAGTCAAATTTAAGGTTTTTTCCCGAGAGCGTCTGAGCGAAGGGTTCTTCTAATAGCGGGAGTCTGTCAAACATTTTCACATCTTCACACCTTCACATCCTCACATCTTCACATCTGCTCATCTTCACATCCTCACATAACCACCTCTCCATCCTCACATCCTCACATCTTCACATCTTCTCATCTTCACATGCTCACATCTTCACATCTTCTCATTTTCACATCCGCACATATTCACATCTCCATCCTCACATCTTCACATCTTGTCATCTTCACATGCTCACATCTTCACATCTTCTCATCTTCACATCTTCACATCTTCACATCTTCTCATCTTCACATCCTCACATCTTCTCATCTTCACATCTTCACATCCTTACATCTTCACATCTTCTCATCCTCACATCTTCTCATCTTCTCATCTTCACATCTTCTCATCTTCACATCACATCTTCACATCTTCTCATCTTCACATCTTCTCATCTTCACATTTTCTCTTGCCTTCTTGCTCTCTTGCCCTCTTGTTCTCTCCTTCTTTTCTATTTCTCTCTTGAAGGCGCGGGGCAGTGCCAACGAGACGGCACAAAACGCAACCCTTTCGCACGAAACGAGGTTCGATTGCCAAAAACTGAAGTAAAATTGCGATTTGCAAAAGGTCCGGCGAACCCTTTCGCACGAAATAAGGTTCGATCGCCAAAAACTGAAGTAAAATTGCGATTTGCAAAAGGTCCGGCAAACCCTTTTGCACGAAATGGTTCGATCACCAAAAACTGAAGTAAAATTGCGATTTGCAAAAGGTCCGGCAAACCCTTTTGCACGAAATGAAGTTCGATCACCAAAAATATGAAGTAAAATTGCGATTTCACGGGTCCGGGCGCAACCCTTTCGCACGAAATGGTTCGATCGCCAAAAGCTGAGGTAAAGTTGCGATTTCTCGCGTCCGGTTGCAACGTTTTTGCGGACATGGTGCCGAAAACAAATCCGCCCACACCGCTTTGGCGGTGAAGGCGTGCTTATTGGGGGGCAACAGCAACACTAAATGCTCAATGACATTTGTTAATATAGCAGTCGCTATATCAGCTTTAGCTGGGGGGGGGGGCCAAAAACGGTTTCGCACCGAGACCAGAATACGGTGGTGTTTTCGACATTTTTCGAGGATTTTTGGGTGTCTGAGCGCAAGAGGGTATTGAAATGGAATTTTGGGTCATTTTGGTAGCTTTCCGGCAATGGAAAAACGGCCAAAAATGAAAAAAACATTGTACATAGCAAGATTTTGCAGGGTTTTTGGATGCCAGAGCATTGAAAACACTGCAAAAACAAGTGTTTTGGACTGACGTTATAGCAAAAAACGTGTAAATTACCGTATGCTTGACTGGAAACATTACAAAAACACTGTCAAAAGCAATGTTTTGGAAGGATTTACTGCCTTTATGGCAAAAAACGTGTAAATTACCGTCTGTTTGACTGGAAACATTGGAAAAACACTGTCAAAAACAATGTTTTGGAAGGATTTCTTATATATATGTTGGAGTTGGCTACCGGCATTGGCACATGGAAAAATTGAAGAAAACACTGTAAATAGCGGTATTTTCAACGGTTGGGGAGATAAGGGAATTGGAAGCATTGTCGAACATGATGTTTTCGACCGGTTTTATGGCGACAAAAGTGTAAAGTACCGTGCTTTGAAGGAAACCATTGCAAAAACATGGAAACACATTCAAAGAACACGGGATTTGGGGGACTATCTAGGCGTCGTTGTCTAGCTATTTGAAATTCCGCAGCTTGGAGAGCCTCCAAGGGAGGGAAAAGTGAAAATTCCATAGCTTGGGAAGCTGTCACGGCGGGGAAAAGTGAAAATTCCCTAGCTTGGGGAGCCCCCACGGGGGGGAAAAGTGAAAATTCCCTAGCTTGGGGAGCCCCCACGGGGGGGAAAAGTGAAAATTCCCTAGCTTGGGGAGCCCCCACGGGGGGGGAAAGTGAAAATTCCCTAGCTTGGGGAGCCCCCACGGGGTGAAAATTCCCTGGAAAAGTGAAAATTCCCTAGCTTGGGGAGCCCCCACGGGGGGGGGAAGTGAAAATTCTTAGCTTGGGGGCCCCCACGGGGGGAAACCACCCTTAGCCCCTCTCACGGACCGAAATAAACCTGCGGTGTGGGCGGCCACCCCACGCGAAGCGGGGTGAATACATCATCACCATGAAATGAAAGCATGAGGTTTCGTATGTCTTCTTCTGGAGACTGTTGAGCCCAAGACAATCAATATTTCCACTACAGCTGTCATCTCAACGTCAGGTCATGAAAGAAGAAGGCGACTGACAGACATGCAACCTTGACCAGCAAACATTTCAGCCTAACACCTGACATGTTTTCGGCTGCCTCCATCCTTAGCTCCGCACTACTCTCTTTATTTAAGCGGGTCTTTCAGCCAAAATACTCGTGGCACTGTTCTGCCATGGCAGCGAATGTGCAGGAAATCTCTGCAAGGATGGATTTCTTCAGCGATCAAATTCAACAACACATTCTTTCATTTGTGCCTAGGAGCTCTGAATTGGCTTCGCAGTATTCTTTTCAACCGCAAACCGGACACTATCTGGTAAAAGCTGGTTGGCCAGCTGTTTTGAAGAAAGTGTATCATTGGAAGGAGGCAGACACCATCTGTATTTGCTGTGGTTCCAACAAAGAACCCGGCGATCCAAACGAGTCAGACAATAGCTACACATCTCAGCAAGTCTCTGCTGGCTGGGCAAAGGTCATGACCGTGACAATGCCACACTTTCGTCATCATCATATGAAATTTCTAGAAAAACAGCTAGAAGCATAGAACATGTTTGGAACACAATGGCAGGCGAGAGATGCTACATTTGCGGGCACTGCAACGACTGCGTTGTGGATGGGAGCAGCCTGCTGACTGGCCGGAAGATCTTGCAGATTCGTGTCCATTGGACCTGAATGGCAGCGGACCTGAGTGTGACCTTGGGGCTTGAAGCTGGCTTGCTGGCTCGTCTAATTGGAATGGAATTAAGGCTGGCTTGCCGTCCGTAAAAACAAAATAGACTATATAGAATTAAATGAATTAGTTGGTTTGGCAGTTTGGCAGGTATGTTCTGGGGCTAGCTTCCTGGCCATGATGATATCTCGCTCGCTTACAGTCAGCCTGATCGAGTCTGTGACTGTGACCGTTCACACACTGGCATCAACTTGGCCAAAAAATTCCGAGCAGTAGACAGCAATTTTGACCCTGACCCCTTGTAGTCCCAACTCAGAAAGCCACAAAAGTTTGCCACTCCTCAGAGTGAAGGTGATTGACGGAAAGTGTGAGATTATAACACCTTGTTCATCAAGGTGTTTGGAAGGCAGATTTTGCCTCGTTCAGTCGTCTTTGCACCAAACAACATTGGATTACGCTACTTTCGAGGTGCAAGACAAATCACGCAGACAAACTGACTTTGCAAATAACTAATAGCTGAAAAACCAAAGATTGACGACCAGATGGAGAAAACACGAAATGTGGGATGCAGCAAGCAATACCCAACAGTCGAGATTGCAGTCTGACTACTCTGCTCCTAGGACCCCACTCCATGAACCAGAAGTGTTTAATAGTTTTGAATCAGGACGCTGAATCTGAACCTGGGATTATCCGTGGAGGTGCCCAGATAAAGATCGACCGCAGTAGCCTAGAACAGGCTGGTAGAGAATTTTGCATTGATTTTGAAGCCTGATTGTTGCAACCAGAACTGCCTGCGCAACAATGCAGAAGTTTGCCAAACAGGGTCGACATATCAGCAGGCAGAAGCAAAATGCTGTGGCTGTACTAACATCATGTCGCACCTGGCAACCGATTGCTTTGCAGCTGCGGGGAGATTGCAATATACTTTGTTTCGTACAAATTCAGTTGATTTGAATGATGCGCTGTTGATATTCATTCATGACTACATGGACGCCGGTTCGAGAGAATTGTGCATCTACGGACGCGTGCACATGACAGCTGTAGTGGAAATACTGATTATCTTGGGCTCAACAGTCGCCAGAAGAAGACATACGAAACCACATGCTGGCACTTTATGGCATCATGTCCAACAAAGTCATATAAAGTCTATCGCCGAAGCAATTTTGCATCAATTAGGAAACACTTTGAGCAAGGTCACTAATAGTGTTGCTACTAGTCGCACATCTGCTTTGATACCTACATGGTCCTTGCCGCACTGGTTGCTTTGCTCCCGCAGAGTTCTTCCGCCAACATGAATTTGCAAGAGGTGACACTGGAAAGAGTCACAAAGAACAATGCCAAGTTCGTGGCAGTAGTGCTGCGTCCCATTTACCACGAGATGAAGAAAATTGAAGCCGCCGGCAAGAAAGCATGGTGGAAAGCCATTGTGCGTTTGGTAGACAAAAAAAGGACAGGGATTGTATGCTGAGATCAGAGGCTCCACCCAAGGAGAAGTTCAAGATAGAGCCAAAGAAAATGTTCAACTCAAATTTCTGCAGGTCACGCAGATGGAGGTTAAGCAGCATTCGACATTTCTGGCTGGCTTCTCGGCGGATGTGTCGAAAACAGGGAAAGCTGTGGCGGTCGCAGAATCCCATCCAGCTGTGGCAGTCCTCCGCAATTTGTTTCCAGTGGCAAAGTCCAACTTTGGACTCTTGACAGAACATTGCCAAGGGTATGAGCGTGCCGATGTGATCGGGAAGGTGACCTTGAAGGAGACA